CCTCCGCTCCTCCACTTTTCGCTACTATGTAAAAAAAAAAGAGGCAATTTTCACTCAATTTTAATTGCTTTGTTGTATATTTTATTTTTTCTATTTTGAGAAATTTGATTTTATATGTTGGAAATTGGTTCCAGAGACCTTACGTTAAAAAAAGAAAAGTCTCCGCGGTCGGTGTCTTCGCGAGATGCGCGGACACTGACTGACAGCGCGAACACGGTGTCTCTGCGCATTTTTCCTACTATCCCTTCCATTTTTTTTCTTTTCCCTTTTCTTTACTTTTCATTTTCCTTCTACAAAACGACGCCGTTTTCCAACATTTACCTACTAGACAACCTAAACACTCCCGATATCACCATGGGCTTCAATGACCTCAACATTATCCTTCTTCACTGCCTCTGCGCAACGCAGAGACAAGTCACTCTTCTCCCGACCCATTCAAATTCCTTTCACTCAATTCCTAGGAATTTTGGTGTTGTTCATTATAGTTGTGACTCGTCCAACGTTGGGTGTCCCTCGTTCATTTGTGGCGCGACTTCTTCTGTCGATAAAACTAGGAGAAAGAAATTTGATACTCATTTTCCAATTGTGAGTTCTCTTGTTTGCTTTCGCCCTCCTATATGTATATGTAAGTAATAATTTTGGTTGTGAAGGCTAATTGAGTTTTTTTTGTTCTTCATATTGTGTAATTAGTTGAAAAATAATGAAATTGATTTTGGTTTAGAAAAAGTGGAATTATTTTCACTGCGAATTTTTTCAGAATTTTAGGAATTTGAGTTGGTTGATAGCTTGATGCTGTGAGAAAGATGCTTGATACTCATTTTCCAGCAGTAAGCTCTCTCTTATACGCTCTCACACTCTCTATTTGTGTGTGTAAGTATGAATTTTGGTTATGAAGACTAATTGAGTTGTTTTCTCTAGGGCTGTCCGTGGGTTCGTTCGGTTCGGTTCTGAAGAGACCCGAACCGACCCAAAACTTTCGGATATTTAATAAATGGACCCGTCTGGTCCAAATATAATTATGGAACCGTTCGGGTTCGGTTCCGTTCGGTTCGGTTCCGTACCATAATTAAATTTTTTAATATTTACAGCAACACTACATAAATACAACTAATGACATTTCATTCGTAACTTTTACAAATTAACGTAGCACGATTCAAAAACATATAAATAACTAGCCGTCCAATAAGATTAATTCAATGCATACAAATATCAAAAAGTA